AAATTTGATTGTATCCTGAATACCCGTCCATGAAGGAATATATTACGTGTCTGATAGTCGAATCTATTAAAGAATCTACTGTAGGCATTTGATATTCATCTTTGGGTGTGGCTACATTTAGGTTCCTAAAGTCTATGCACACCCTTAATTTATCATTATTTTTTAGTACAGCGCGATATTGGACAACCCCTCAACATATTTGGTTGTTCTAATAAAGCATGCTTTTAATAATCACTCTATCTCTTTCTTAACTTCAGGAAGTACATTAGGAGCAAAGCGCCTAAGAGGTTGTTTATGAGGTTTAAAAATTGGCTTGGTTGGCAATCTATGTTCCATCAAATTTCTATCTAAACTAGACATATGTTCATATTCCCAAGTAAAAAAATCTTTATATTCCTTTAATAAAGCGATTAATTTATCACTAACCTCTTGATCGAGCGGCTGGCTGACGAATGTTGGGCGATCTTTCCCTCACTGCCAATGTTCACTTTAATCAGAGGGTCTTATCCTTGAGCGTATCCAGGCTTGGTGATTCTCATTACTTCATCGTCCATATCCCTTATAGGCACTTTTTTTCTAAACAATCCAATTTGTTAACTTCTTGGCCAATACTTTGTTCCAACTTGAACACTGTCAATTTGTCTCCCAATGCTTTCAAAGCTGCTTCTTCTTTCGTATTGTCTTTGCATTCTTTATAGCAAGCCATTAACTTGGCTTTGAAGGCCTAAACATTGGTCATTTGCCTTTGTTGCTTACAATTCATTTAAAACTCTTTGATTACTTTTTTGCCAATTACTGGCTCCTCCACGGCCACTATGTTTGGCCTCATTTGACTGAACATTTCAGTTAGCGCATCTATTCAAAACGGCTCTTCGCTCTGTGCAACAAGTTGAGTTTCTTCTCCATCTTGGACTACTCTGACATATCCATAATTTCCTTCATACATGAACATTTCCATTGAGTTTTCTTCTGCGACAAAAGGTCTATGATCTGCCTACACCACTTCTGCTTCACCCTTGTCGTTCCAGAAAACCAGGCATTGATAGAGTGATGAAGGTATGTAGCGATTTCCGTGTATCCAATCTCTTCCTAATAACACATTATAACTAGTAGGAACATATATTACGAAGAAGACTGTGGTCCTAGTAGTTGTCCCTACAGTTATGTCCAATGGCATAACCTCTTTAGCTGAAGTTACTCCTCCATTGAAACTAGTAAGGATGACTTCTGTTGGAATCATATTACTTTCTGTCTTTGCTAATTTCATCATCATCCTAGATGAAGTAGTGTTTATAACTGCTCCTTTATCAATGAGTACTTTCGCCAAAGGTATACCGTTAACTAGAGCCTTAACGTACAATGGCATCAAGTGTTTAGTTAACTTCATGGCTGGTCT